GCTTTTCATGGAAGCAGCTGGCAGAGTCTCTCTGCCACAGCCTTCCACTTCCCAGAATTCTCCTCTCTCCTTGTTTCACCTATACTTCCTGCTTGGCTACTGGCCAATCAGTGTTTTATTTATTAACCAATCAGAGCAACACATTTAACATGCAGAACATCCCACAGCAGAGGATCAGATGGTTCACATGGCTGCCATACCCAGAAAAGAACCTAAATGATAGATTCTTCATTCTTCCATGGAGAGAAAAGTCCAAGTACTCCTGTTTTCTTGTTTGGAAATTAATCAAATATTTAAGCAGTGATATCATAGTATCTGGGTTTGCCTCACAGGTCCTTTATTCCTTTTGATGTGCATTTCTTGTTTTCCTTTTTATTATTGAACACGATTTTTAAATTTAAATGTATTTCATCATGTTCCTCTCCCCCTAGTCATTCCAGATCTTCTCCCCCTCTCTTCCCACCCTAGTATAAGTGCCTTCTCAAAACACAAACAAAAATCTAAGGCAAAAACAACAAAAAACTTATAAAAACAAAAAACAAAACAAAATAAAAACAATAACCCCCCAAACTCTCTAAATCGTAACCAAATAAGAGCACACAAACAAGGAACAAAGCAAAACAAAAATTATAGAGTTCATGTTATGCTGGTCAACTCCTCATATTCATTTTGTGTACTTGTGTTTCCTAGATCCTGACTATTATACAGAACAGGGGATTAATAATTGTTTTAAATTATTCACTTTGAAATTTAATATATATGTAAACTGTTAAATTCCATTCTTTTGAGACTTATGTTATTGCCTTATAAATTATGAATAAACTAGTTTCATAATAAGGTAGAACCATGTTTTCAACTATAAAAGCAGTTCATTGGCTTTGCATTCTCCCCAGCCCAAATCTCCTTCCATAGATGTTGTTTATTCTATACCTGATGGGACATTACTGATTTACACACTATTCAGCTTTTGTCCAATAGAAAGAAATATACCCCAAATACACAGGAGTGGCATGTATCTGTTTTTTGCAAATCTAAATAAATATGCAGTAATGCAAAATGCAAGAGTTGTGCAAACACAGAGGCTTCCACTCAGATTGAAAAGGAAGTCACTGAGGCCAGGCAATGGATTGCAGTCTTTCCAGGCAGTCCATTACAGGGTGATTCATGAAGCTCTGATGATAAAAGCTAAGCAAGTATGGAGATCCCTGGATGTTAGATAAGTTTAGAATATGGAACATTTCCCAAGGAAAGTCACAGGAACTAGTGAAGCCAGCTTAAAAAAATGTCCACGAATTGGGGTCTATGCTGATATTTGGGGTCTGGATAGCCACCTGAGACCCTGTTTGTGTCTGAGGGCCTTGCTGTACCCAGGGCTGTCCTGATCAGGGTGGTTTGTGCTTCCACCTCGACCATGGTGATGCCCGTGTTTCTGTTGAAGCTGGGGTCTGTGAAGATGCCAATGGCCCATGTTACCACAAGGGGTCATAGAAACCATGTGTGTTGAAATCTGAGGGCTATGTTGAGCCACCTCATCCTCACTTGCTCTGAGATAGCTGACCCTGGGCACTGCAGAAGGAGAACTGGCCCTATTCGCATGGGAGAGCTAGCCCCAGAAATCCAGGGAGATAGTCCTACCATTCATCATTGATGTAGGAGAGCTGGCCTGGGTGCCATGGGCCTAGGAGAGCTGGATCTATCCCCACTTGCCCTGGGATAACTGACCCTGACCCTCAGTGGGCATGGCAGGAGAGCTGGCCCTACTCCCATGAGAGAGCTGGCCCCAGCAATCCAAGATGGCCTTAACCTTCATTATTGATGTAGGAGAGATGGCCAAGGTGGCATGGGTATAAGAGAACTGGAGGGGGGGCAGTGGCAAGACTGGCCTGCTCAGCTACCACCCAGACCTAAATCCTGGGCTTTGGGTTGGTCTACCCTAACATTTACCCCATCTCTGACCTGCTGGAGTGCCTGAATGAGCTCCTCCTGTGGAAGGATAACTGTTAACTGCAGGATCTCCATTACTGGAAGTACAGCAGGATAACCATGAGGAGTTTCGGTAAGGGTCCAGTGATGACGATGTGCCAGAGGCCTTGAACCAGACCAGTGACTCATTGCAATGAACATTTTGTAGGTGGGGCTGATTGGACAAACGGGTATATAGTGGGACACACCACAGCTCCAGATGCCACTGGGATGAATGAAGAGGTGTTGGTAAGACTGAAGATAGAGGTGGATTTTTGTTTGTTTGTTTTTAATTATATGGGGAGCATGCTGCATGGGTGAGGGGCAGATAGGAGGGAGCGGGAAGTGAATGGGATTGTGGTGCATGATGTGAAATTCCCAAAGAATCAATAAAGAATTATGTCTTTTTTTTTTTAAAGGCCATGTGGGCACCAATGGTAAGATCAAATGCACAGTCTTTGGGATTCCTAGATCCTGAGCAAACAGCTACAGGATTTAGTGTTTGCCCTGTTTAGTCTTGCATCAGTCTAATTGCTCCTTCATGTTTTTCCATTGCTTCATTTGAGAAATAGAATGTTTGCCTTGTGCTACTGTGCACTGGAACTCTGCCACTTTGGATTTACAGGGGCTCACTTCCTAGAGCCTAGACACAGATGGTGGCAGGGGATTAAACTTTTGACCAATGCTGAAACTGGGAGCAGGCGGAGCTGGGAGGAATAAAGGCAGGGGAAACTGGGTAGGGATGTATTGCATAAGAAAATGATCTATTTCTAATACTAAAACAAACACACAAAGAAAATGGTTGGAGAGAAAATAAGTGGTCTTGGAATTATAAGATAGGTGTGAGACATTGAATACAAAGGAGACAAGGTCAGATTTGGAATATGTTGTCTCATACATTAACATTATCACTCATGTTGGAAACTTTCAGATGTGCATCTATCTTGAGGAAGAAGTTCACTGGGACATATTTTAAGGCTTGGATCTTGTCACAAGCCCTGTCATTCTCTGCTTCTGCTCTCTGCCCATCATGAAGTGAATACCTTCTACCACATATTCCTGGCAACAGGCTTTACTCATGGTTACATTACAGGCCCAGACACCCAGAATCAAGTGACCTTGCGATGAAGACTCTGCAGCTACAAGCTCAAATTGACCACCCGCCTTAATTTGTGCTGTCAGCACTGTGATCACAGATATGGAAAGACAAGTAATTCAAGTGGCCCAAGATAAGGACAGAGATGGAAGATGGGATCTTTGAGGTGAGCCTCTGAGAATTCTGGGTAACTGATTATTTTTCTATTCCTACAGCACCTAGTTCAGAAAATTAGTCACAGTAGAAACAGGACCCAAAGAACTTGAGAGTAAAGTATGAAGACTATAATCTTGAGAGCTGTGTGACCTTGTAGTGTTGATATTGATGAGGTCGAAGTTGTTAGTGGCACATATATACAAGTTATTGCCACTGAACAGTGTCAGTAAGACAAAAATTAAGTGGTTCAAAGGGTCTGATATGAACCTACTCATTCTAGGATTATCAGAATAGCTCTGTACTCAAGGCTGAGGTTTACATCCTGGAACTCAGAAACCTCTATCTTGGACACTGTTATTGGCATTTCTGTAATTCACCCTGATTTTGTCCCTTGTCTCCTACATAATTAAAACTAAAAAATCCTGCTGTTCACTTGACCAGTATTCTTTTTTAGTATTTGTTCCAGTATTTGTCTCTGACTGGTACCAGGCAAGTATGAGAGAAATAATTTTTATTTGATTGTTAACAAGGATTGCATGTCAAGTGGAAAAGCAGTAGCATTCTTCTCTCCCTTTATTATTTACCATTTGACATCCATTCCTCTATCCATACTCTCATTTTACCAACCAGTCCAAAATTTTGAGATAGTCACATGCAATTACAGTTAGTGTTTCAGACTTGGTTGGGGAAATAAATGCTCTCTAATCCAAGAGGAACTTTATCATTTGATGATTTTTTTCATTTCTCTGAAAAGGAATTGTCTCTCTCTGAATGACAGATTTTGTCCTCTTATGACCACTTCCTCTCAGAAGTCAGGCTCACAGCTCAACAAGGTGGGTATCAGCTTCACTAAGTTTGTTAGAATGCTGTGTTGATAGAAAGAATTGAGGTGAGCTCATCAGGAGAGAGGTAGTCTTCAGTAGAAACCCATTAGTAAGCTAAGTATGGTTGATGAAGTTGGGACTTCATTATTTGGTAACTGCTATGTTTGGTCCCCCATTCACAACCATTCTGCTTAGTATGTTTGCTTTCATGATGATGTAAACAATGGTACAGAGTCAACAGAAACTACACTTCACAGTCTGAATTTTGATCTGCTCACAAGGCAGTGAGATGCAGTGTAATGCTCTTTCACAAGGGAAGGCAATGCAAGCCATTCTGAACTCACAGCCATTGCTACTGTAACTTAACTGAGGCTCTATGCTGTACTGTGTTGCCAGAATTCTAAAATAGTATATCATATTTTATCATGACTACAATATGCCCATCAGGGCACATATATGAGTTGTTAGAATTTAATTATAGAAATAGACCCTGCACTGGATTATCTCCTAGAGATAAAATTAACAATAAGTGTTCTGGGCACATGTAAGGTACATGCAGCTACATTTCGAGGAATCATATTTAAAGAGTTAGAAGACTAACAAATGCTTGAGGAATAGTAGTGCTTGGAGAGAATCCACACAACACAAAATCAACACAGGAAAGCTGGTTGGTCTCAGCCCTTGGGATACAGAGGCATGTGGTTGTCTATGCCTTTGAGGGCAGGCTGGTCTACAGATCTAGAATAGCCAAGGCTATACAACCTAATCCATCATACACACACACACACACACACACACACACACACACACATTCACACACAAATCAACACTGGATCTGCTAAGAGACCTTGTCAATTACATTTCATTATAAAACACAAGGAGATACAAAATAAATATGCATCTTCAAACAATGAAGGAAGTAGTAAATTTATGTAATATATTTCATTTTAATATGACTTGGATGTTATGGATACCAATTTGTCTTATAAAATAAGTTGGAGATTCAAACCTGTCCTATTAAATGGTGAATAAAACTTTATTCAGCAAAAATTTAGATGTTTTCATTTATTTTCAAGACTGAGACATCTCTTAAAAAATACATGCCTGAGGGCCACTTTTACTTCTTTATTCCTCAGGCTGTAGATCATTGGGTTGAGTGTGGGTGTCACAAGATTGTTCAAAATCTGAATAATTGCACTAAGCAATGGGCTGGGACTGGGCTGCAGGTAGATGATGATGACTGGTCCATAAACACAGATAATGGCAGTGAGGTGGGCACTGCAGGTGGAGAAGGCTTTCCGCCTGCCTTCTGTTGAGCGGATTTTTAAGATGGAGATGCCAATTCGAGTGTAGGACACAACGATGAGAAAAAAACAAATGAGAGATAAAAGACCAACGTTTGTAAAGCCTACCTTCTGTGCTAGAGAGGGGTCCTCACAGGCCAGTAGTAACACTGCAGGCATGTCACAGAAGTAATAGCCCACCTCACTGGGGCCACAGTAGGGCAACTGGAAAGTGAGGGACGTGAGGATAATGGAGTGCACACAGCCGCTCATCCAGGTCCCTGTGGCCAAGACACAGCACACTCTGTGGTTCATGATGACCGTGTATCTCAAAGGGAAGCAAATGGCAACAAAGCGGTCATAGGCCATCACTGTGTATAGGAAGCACAATGTGCAACCCAGACAATGATAGAAGAAGTGTTGTACAACACAGCCCTGGAAAGAAATCCCTCTACCCTGTCCTGAAAGATATGACAACATCTTTGGAGCTGTTGTGGAACAGAAACCCAAGTCAAAGATGGAGAGGTTTCCCAAGAAAAAGTACATGGGTGTGTGGAGTCGCTGGGAGGAGATGACTGCAGTAAGGATGAGCAAGTTCCCCAGGAGGGCACAGGCATACAGTGCTGAGAACAGGAAGAGCAGGACCTTCTCCAGGCCTGCTGTCTCAGGGATGCCCAGCAAGGTGAATTCTGTCACCATGGTGTGGTTTGTCATGTTTATGGAAGAATCAGCTCCTGGAAGTCTGTGGAAAGAAATTCTTGGTAAAATTTATTATGTAAGTGGATTAGACAAGTTTAATTCACCAGGGTGGAAGAGAAAAAGATACTGGTATTTATAGAGAGATGTTCTAGACAGAATTGCCTTTCTTGCTGACGGGGTATCTTTGTGTTGTTAGCCCCTTAATTGCAGCTAATGCTGCTTAAAAATCTCCGCCAGAAGATAACTTACAGGGCAATTGTAGAAGGTGTTTTAACAATCCCATCCAGAAATTAACTTTCAAGGTTACTCTCCTCTGCTCTCAAATTCATATAAATGATCGTATTCCATCATTCCAGATGCTCTACTGTGATTCTAAAATGAACAAAAACTCCAGAAATGGACTTGTAGAGAGGATGGAGAAGAGGCAGGGTAAGAGAGGGATAAGAAGAGTGGGAAGTGAGAATAATCAGAATATGTCATATACTGATGTAAAACTGTACAAGAACAAATTTAATTAATGCAGAGTTATGTCTTTAAAATGACATTAGCAATCAAATTCTAGGACTGAGATAAATGAGGATCTAAACCTACAGTATTTATTACAAAATGACAACAGCCAAGGATAGACCTCACAATTTTAAGTTTAAAGTGTGAACACCACTGAATTGTAAGCTTAATGAATTACACTAAGATTTTCTTAGTTGGCAGCATGAATGCTTGCTCTCTCTTCTGGCAAATAATGAGGATGTGTGATTGTACATTGGATTATCTTGTGTCTTGTAAGTACAATCATTGAGAATAACACAGTGACTGAAGGCTCCATAGCCACATCTTATATGAGAGCAGAGCTGTGTCTACTCTATCTCTTCATTCTCTATTTAACACATAATATATATACATCTCATATGCACATATATGAACATACAGAGAAAGAGAGATACAGAGAGACACACAGAGACAGAGAGATAGAGAGAGAGACAGAGACTCATTTCTAAACCTCACTAATCACATTGTGTTACATTTGTAAAGAACATTTGTCACATATGTCTCAAAAATTAAACTAAGGGTATGGAGTTCAAGAAGGCAAACTTAAATACACTGTTTTTGATCAAATGTATGAAAGAGACAAGATGCACAAAGATCACACTGAAAACAATAAAGTCACAGATATTTAAAAAGGTACGCAGTTCTCCTGCTGTTAACAAAGAAAGATTGCATCCAATCTCATAGGTTCATCTCTGAACATAAGAATGTATCATCCTACATGAACTTCCTTTAACTCTCCATTCATGACTATTGAGTCCTGAGGGACAAAAAAGAGTGGCTACCTAAAGAAAGACCTTGGCATTCCATATGGAAAAGAAAAGCTACTGTTGCCACTACCTCAGGCTGCAAAGTCTAATTCTGGAACCATATTGAGTTAAAGACAAGGGGTGGGCATAGAAAGCACTCCTTTTGAGTTTTTATATTTTAAAATTTTCTGACATATTTTCATTTTTTAATATAGTATAATCTTTAAATTACAGGTTAACTCAGAAAATCTATTGCCTAAAACTCTGAACTCCCTGACTCCAACATATCATGTCCCTAGCCACTGGGCAACTGAGCACTCTGATAAAGGTGAAGGAGACACTTGGGCACTTACTGAGCCAATAGGAAGCCTAGTGTGATGGATGGTGTTGTTGAGCACTCTTTTCCTGTGTACCTCCAGCAGAAGGAAGGAGCCTCACCATCCTTCAGTCTGTAAGTTGGAACTGATAATTCTTTCTCCTCATTTTAATCAGTTTCCAGTAGAAAATCTAAGTGTGCTTCAGCTCCCTGGCAGCAATTTCCTGTTTGATTACAGGAACTGCGATAATTCACAAGACATGAGATTTTAAATAATAGTGATCATCCTTTGGGTATCAATCCCCAGAGGAAGGAGTCTTATTGAAAAAGCATCTCATTAACTCCTTGCTTTAATTATGTGGTGGTGCAGGGGGGAGTATTTCAATGTATTTTGTGAATATTCTTAAGAGCTAATACTGTTCATTAATGTTCACTTGAAACCTCAAAATTTTTCTCACATACTTAACCTGTGACTAAGGATTTTCCAAGCTGATATTCTGAAATTCTATTTGTCACATACTGACCTATATGGTGAGGTAGGGTTCTCTGAAGGTGGGAGAAGTGCTTTCTTTGAAAATATTTTCTTAGCTGGGACCTGCAGTGTGAATCAGCAGACAGGGTAGGGAAGGACAAAGCAGTTTCCCAGGTGAGGCACTGGCATGTACACTGTGCATGATGGAAAGGAACTCAACATACTTAAAGAATTTAGGAGCTGGGTCTGAGTGTCAGAGCCTCTATTTTCAGTTTCTTAGGAGTCTGATTTAGTAGGTTCACAAATTTAGTCCTCGAGTGAAGATGATAGTCAAGTTTTTCATGGGTAACTTGGTAAAATGCAGTCTAAATTATTCAATCAATCATAATTTGAAAGGTATCTTTATCCACTTTTCCTTGCTATAATAAAATTCCAGGGATTGAGCATTTAAAGGGAAGACATTTATTAAGCTCATAGATCTAGAGTTCAGGATAAATGAATAATTTAAAAATCACAGATGAAAATAGTATCAGAAAAATGTCTGTGTAAACCAATAAACACACCTCCTTCTCACTCCTATTCTGAAAAGTCATGGGAAATGATTTTCATTTGCAGTCTTGTTAGACATGAGGTAAGACAGCAAGGTTTATAGATAGAACCAGTTGAAGGATCTAACAACTGAAAATTAGGATATTTCCACAATGGCTGAGCAGGCTTTCTCTTAAATGGTATGATGGGGCAACTGCTGGGCTGTCTAAGGGATAGGCTTAAGAAGGTAACATCAGGGCCAGAGCAGGCAGTGAAGTGCGGGAATAGGAGCTCCTATGACTTCTTGGAACTGCATCTGTTGCCTAGGAGCTGGGTCAGTGATAACCAGTATTTCATGATTGTGGAGATCTGCCAGGAGTATCTGGGTGACATGGTTATGAGCATGTTCAAGGCCATTGTACAAAAAGACTATGGAAAGGGACATGTCTAGTTCTAAAAGCATAATGTGGTTTTCAGTTTTAATCAGATAATTGTGGAGAAGCAATAAATTTGGAAATACTCCCAGTAGAAGAGGTCCTTGGCAAGTCATTTTGAAACTATGCATGTGGGACTCAGCCAGGAACTGCATCAATGCTGATTTGGTTAATCTCATGTTCACTCCCTTTGGCATGGGTTGAGGCAGGATTTTAGTTTCTCCACAATCTATCTGTTTTAATTCAAAGATGAAATTTTGTCACTAAAAATTACATACTCATGGAAAAGATATGCAATGGTGATCTCCAGTGAGATGCAGTACATAGACATAATGAAATAAATATATCAATCTTAGTATTTCTTAACCCTAGTCCTTTCTCTTCCAGTATCCCAATGTATGCCACCACAGCTTGAGAATACTGCTCTATATGCCATCTTGAAACACTAGGAACTCTTCTGTGACATTCCTTCCATGGGTTCTTGATAAGGAATAGCTATAGAAATATCTGGAGACTAAAGTGATTGTCATCTGAAAACTTTTTAGGTACCACATGGAAGTACAGTGATGGATTTGCTTGTCTGACAATGCAGAATTCACTGAGTCAGTGGGACACTGATACTTCATGAAGAAGGCACTGGGGTGCTGCTTGCCCTGAGAGATGGCCAGCTAATTGACATTGAGCACATCTGTTGTAGTCAACTGAAAATACCTAAAAGCCATCATTATAACACTGGTCCCATTTGTGGAGAGCATGAAGGCTATCCTCCCCAAAATAGTTTTATGCTAAAGGCTAAGAAATTTCAGAGTTGAGATGACATCATCATCATCATGGAGGAATTGATATTCAAAAATGTCAAAATGAGAATGAAATCTAAAAGAGCCATGCTCTGGAAACATCAATTGTAGTACATGTTTTAACAGCATCAGCCATGCTATGAAAACACCAATTGTAGTCCACACTGTAACAGCGTCAGCCATGCTCAGTAAACAAAAAACAAGAAAACAAACAAACAAACAAAAAACCCTGTGGTTCCTGGTTGTGAGGTTGTGACAGCATCAAGCTGATAACACAGTAGGAAGAAAGGAAGCATTGAAATTGGACCCAGACCAGGTTCAGCCATTAATAGATGGTTGCAGCGATCAGATATTATCTGCTCTTACTTACTACAGGTGGAAAAATGGAGAGATTAAAATAAAGTTAGCAGTGAGGTCAGTGTACATCAAAGACCTATTCACAGCACTTTTTATCAGTTGCTTCCTGAACAATTTATTACTATTATGAATTGTCTGGCAAGATGATGAATTGTGTTAAGCGACCACAGAGGTCATGAAGGGCAGCTCCAGGAGGGGTGGGCAATTAGGAACAGGAGTCTCTTAGCTAACTAGATATGTTTGAGGCCATAATGCTAATTCATGTGAGATTCTATATCTGTTATTTGAGGTTTCTAATACTGAGAACTCTCATATAGAAGTGGTAAAGATTTGTTTTATAGGACTGATGTGTACATATATGGAGATGATAGTCATGAAGAGGGCATTACAGTGATGCCTTATAAATATCATGCCTTATAAATATCACACATTCTTTTTGTGAAATAGAGAACTGAAGTGCTTGGGAGCAGAAAAGGAGAGTAATCCCATTCTAAGTAAAGCAGAAGTGTGAAATGAGACTGATTTGACACTGGGAAGGGATGAATAAGGTCACAGCTGTCTCCAGTTTTCAACCAGGAGATATGTGTGGGCTGATCATTATAGATATAGGAAATCTCTCTGTTGTTGTTTACATTGCTCCTTAGATTTCTTGCTCAGATTTCAGGCCTAGTTGCTTCTGTAGTTGGTTATGGAATTTCTTAGGAGGGATTGTAGAGGCAGAAGAACATTGAAAGTATTATAGGCATATCACATGCATTCAGATATTCAATCCTGTGTTTATTTATTTAAAAACCAGGGAATTGAAGATTTATAGTAAGAAACAAAGCTTTATAGGAA